TCCATTTTCAAAATAGACATTTATACACCATTCGATAGAGAATTTGAACAGCTACATTTTACACTATTTATATTTGAGAAAAGAGTTACTTCGATTTTTTGCCTAATGTCCGCCTGGATGCCCACTGGGCATGGATGGCGGTGTCGTACCTCCACCGGTACCCCCACAATGGGCGTCCACCACTACATCTGCAATCATATCAAGAAGACATTATGAGTGCACTTATGGGTAGGACTTTGTTCATCAATATAGAATATATGTCAAAATCAAAACATACGTATGACACAACAAGACTCATTCACTAAAATTGTTTTCTAAAAAGCAATTCATTAAAAGGTTTACTGTTAGATGTACGAATGATGGACCGATTCTAAATCATGTGAATTCAGATTTTTGTAGGTGGCTGTGAAGAAAGCGAGAGTGCTAATGGTAATAATTTCATGCCAGCCAGTTTTAGAGGCAATGTTGTAGTGAACTGCAGTCAATTTTTTCTATTTCTAAAAGCTTTGAAGAAAATTCAAGCTGAAAACTCTCATGAGAAGCCATATCGAAGATGGAAAATTGCTGATTAATAGTAGACATCCTCAGAAATGGTTTAGGACAAATCATACAGCTCAAAACAGAATGGGAAGCATAAAAAATGTTGTCTGTTCTGATGTTCTAACTGAATGGAACTTTTTCTTTTGTTTAAGGTATTGATGCGATGTCGTGATTGTCATTATATATTCAATAAAGAAATGTATAGAGATGATGATACAAAGAAGCATAGATTGATGTACACTATATGTTTATGTTAAGGAGAGTGATAAATCACTGGTCCTATAGAATGTCATGAAATAATTGATGCTGTTTACACTAAACTACATTTATCTATAATCCAAGGCTTCTACGCAATACAAGTAACTACGTTGTTAGAATATCAAATCAAACCGAATTTAAACTTGAATCAATCTGAAATTGTTCATCATTTCCAAGCTTATTAGTACAACTCTAATAAGCATTTTTTTGCTCAATTACATGGCTTAGCGAGATAACGGATAAGTCAACTTTTATCCCTGGTCGAATTCAAATTCTGTCTAACGCGATATTCTAACAACGTAGTTATTTGTATTGCGTAGAAGCCTTGGATGATAGAGTAGAAAATATAGTTTAGTATAAACAGCATCAATTATTTCTATTCAATTATTTCATGACATTCTATAGGACCAGTGATTTATCACTCTCCTTAACATAAACATATAGTGTACATCAATCTATGCTTCTTTGTTTCGCTTTCTCTATACATTTCTTCGTTGAATATTAATGACAACTATGACATCTCATCAACACCTTAAACAAAAGAAAGATATATTAGTATCCATTGTAGAGCAGTATTAGTTAGTATTTTAAAAAACACATTTATTAAACAAACCATGTGTTGTTATAAGTTTTGCATCATTTTTATTCTTATATGTTCTTTATTCGGTGAGTTTGAACAACTAAATAAAATATAAATAATACCAACTATATAAATTGAATGATTAAGAATAAATGAGAGACAGACAATAGTACAAGTCATATTGTAATATTCTGAAAAATTAATATCCCAATCGGGATATAAAACAAAATTTTGTCGTAAAAATGATTCTGGAGGAAAATGACGACGTTATGGGAAATATTGACCTCACCTTTAGAAAGAGTTCGAAAAACTATATTGGATTCTGTTGTGTTGATTAAAAGTCTGTCAAGCACTCAGCAACTATTTTTCTGACAAATTTTAGTCGAATTTATATCCCGATCGACATATAGGTGGTTAACCCTTTATTGCTCAAAATACTCTTGAGCTAATCGCTTTCCACACCGACCGTCTGAATGCCTAATAATTCATGAGGAAAAAAACACCTGCAAACGATTCTAAATTTGACTATATTTTTGTGCATTTATGCTCATAAATTTGAATATAACCCTTAACCATGTTAAGAACTCGACTTTCAGTAGAGAACAGCAAATAAGGGGATATCTCTTGTCTGTTCTTTTTCTTTTCTATCAACTCGCTGAGACGAAAGGATCTTCACATAGGGGATATCTTATCTGGAAAAAGATATTTCATTTCCTAGTTCTCTAATATCAGGAATAAATAGGAGAATATGTTTTAGGAGAATCATCGTTAGTCAATCATCGTATTCGTCATCGTCGTCAAGTTAATTATGATCCGTATGGATATGGAAACTTTGGTAGTGGTAGTGCAATTCAAAACTGGCCTAGTAACAACCTGCCTCCAAGTAATTATCCATCTTATGGAAGTAATTCAAATTATTGGAAACCTAACAATAACAACAACAACTACAACCATAAGCCTAATTTCAATGATGATTATACTCGTTATGATCCAGAAGGATGGAAATACGTTCAGAATAATAATCGACCAAATCGTCGTCCCGAATGGTATTATAGTTCCTGTTATATAAATCGACAGAATAATTTGTTAAATATATTTAGCTTTATTTTATTAACAATTATCTATTTCGTATAAGAATAAATCACAAATATTTAAACGTTGTTTTAGAAGAATAAAGAAGCAGTCACTATCAAAGTATTTTCTCTTTTGCTCTTTGTCTCTTTCTTCGTAAGAAAAATAAAGCTTAAACAGAAGCAAGTCTAAAATCAAGCAAACTGTTGCCAAATCATGGCTACTAATAAAGAAGGTCGTTTGATAATTTAAATCTAATCTTCGTATATTAACTCGTTATGTATTTATTGACGTTTTGTTAAAGATAGTTGAGCTTCGTGAGACTAAATATACATATAACAATTAAAATGAAATAAAAATAAAAGTTCGTTACATTGTTCCTCTTACCATCTTAACGATAGTGGAACATAACAAAACGTTCTTCATCTCTACCAATATGGTAAAAGAACGAAAGAGAAAAGTCATTTTAGTAAGTGTACAGATATTTGAATTTTATTTGAATTGTCATCTGTACACTTTGTTTGATCGAGTTTAATATAGGTAACGAAATGTCAGTAAATAGATAACGATTCAATATAAGAAGAGCCAATTGATATTAGTTATTTGATTACTGTCGGTATAAGCGCACTCTCAAAACTCAAGTGGGACTCTTCCCGGGTGTCCAACTCTGTTTTTTAATGATATTGATGCCGATCGATAGGGGATAGGGTCAACGTTTTTGATTGGATGGGGAAGTGGGGGACCTCTTCACCGTAAATTTTGACACTGTCCGCCAAACTTTTGGAGTTTGTGTTCTGCCTTCTTTTAAGTTCTGATTGTCCGTCAGAATAACTGGCAGACAGTCTTTTAAGTTCTTTATTTGTTGGGTCAAACGAAGCTGAACGGGAATGAAATTTCAACACACTTCGTCGAGTGAAAATATGGACACGACATCGTATGAGAGACGTGATCCTCGAAACATGTATCAAAACTTCTAGTTCACAACCTCCTTGAACCCCAGAAGCTACTAGTTTTGTTATAAAGATTTTATTTCCCATCCAGGTTGAGCCAAAGAACGAAATATATCGTTATGAATGACTTGGATGAATATTAAATATTGTTTTAGTTGAAAATATAAATTCTGATACGGAGTAACAAAAATTCTTTTCAATTAACGATTGTTTTCATTTACTTAGCAAGAAACTGTCCCACAGTGGGCAACTAAGCGGACATTAGGCCCAAAAGTCGATTTTATCTATCTTGAAATACAAATAGTGCAAAATGTAGCTCTTGAAATTCTCTATCGAATGGTGTATAAACGTCTATTGTGAAACTGAAATGTTCAAGGAGAAAAAC